CAGTGACCTAGAAATCCCTCAGAGAAGAGTGTGTGTTTTTTTATGTATTTGCTTGAGTCGTGCCTGTTGAAAGCAGACACATCAGCTTGTCTAAAAATCAGGTAAAGGTTTTCTTCCCATCTGTCCTCCGTTTGATTTTCAGAGCGTGGAGGATGATTGGCACCTGCAGAGTTTCTGCTTGTGTGGACATGCATGGCAGTCGGTGTTTGCTGTTAAACACACTCCTGTTCCCTGTCAGTGCGCGTGTCTTAATGTATGCATAGATCCATGAAAACAGATCCAGAGATCATCATGTAATGCTCTGCCTCTCATCTCAAATGTATCACTCCCCACAGCATGAGATACGATTATGAAGGATTTTAACACACTCAATAAGGAGCAGTTTATTTTGCCAACATCTTTATGGTGTTGGCCGCTGATGCTCTCAGTCTGCTCAGTGTTTATGTGATTGTTATTTTATAGGTGCTTCGGTATGGCTCTATATTATTATTGTCAATCCTTTTTTACTGCAGCATATCATTATTTCTACCAGTCGACATTCAGCATGTTGTGTTTTAGTGCTTGTTTTAATATTTAACTGTTTTATACCCATATCAATTAAAATTATGTCAAAATAATCTGAAACCACAAATAATGCCCGTTCCCTTTGTATTCGTTTATTATTTTGTGGTTTCGGCTATACCTCAGGGGTTCATGGTGTACCAATCAGTGGGTCGGTGGTTCGATGCCCAGCCACTGAAGGCAAGGCACGTTTATTTATATAGCACTTTTCAACACAAGGCAATTCAAAGAGCTTCACAAAAATGAAAGACATTAACCCTTAGATGCATAAGTGGGTATTTTTTGAGTTGGTTTTCTTGAAGTATCTTTGTAATTACATTTTTTTATCATTTCATATTCCAGCTATTCCTCAAAAAACATGTTTTGGATATCAAGCGATTCAAATTTAAAATAGAAATGTTATACATTTTAAGAAATTGTAGTTTTTGTATTTCTACCCCAAGCTTCCATAAGTGGGTCAAAAATGACCCGCATGCATTTCCTATGGGATCCTCTGGGAACCTTTGATTCTTATCATCTGTTGCTGTCAGGAATATATTCACTGTGGACCACACAGACTATACATCACAAGTGACACCTCTCAGGAAGATTATTTTACAGCAAGATCTGATACCTGTCAGTATAATAATAATAATACATTATATTTGTATAGGGCTTTTCAAGGACTCAAAATCGCTTTACAATATAAGGGAAGGTTAGGGTGGGGGGTATAGGACTATCAAACTTGATCAACCGGCATGGATTGATGGGGGGTGTGCTATGAGTAGACAAGAGGAGAAGAGATGAGTTTTGAAAAGGGACTGGAATACTGTGAGGGTCTGAGAATCGCGGAGATCTTCGCATCAATATGTTCAAAACGGTTTTTTTTCTAAATGTCAAAAAATTAAATATTTTTAATGTGAACCAAAATATAATACTAAATATTATACAAGTGATTTTTCTTAACCAAAATGACAACAATGGCATAAAAACATATATTATTCTAATATGGGTACTTTTTGACCCACTTATGGACGAGTGTAGGGTCCAGTCACTCGTGCATCTAAGGGTTAAAGTAACAGTTGTGTGCTTCTTTACCTCGGGACAGGGTGCTAAGACTTCCTCTCAGTTAAGAGACGCTACTAAGTGCTCCACATGGAGGAAAGGATCAATACCTAAGCACAGCCCAGCAGCTGCCCTGACAGAGTGTATTTTCCACCCATGTCTAATGCAGGAGAGAGCAAAATCAAAACATCAACTGTTAGGAGGTGCGCCACATGACAACCGTTTCTGTCATTTTTAATTTTTGACAAATGACTCAGTTTTGGTGGTCACGTTGCTCTGCAGATTTTCCCAGAGTTTTGTTACAGCTGAGGCTGATATCTTCACTACAGCTGGACCTTGAGTTGCTCATGCTGATCACTTCCAGCTGGCCTGTTTTCAATAGAGCAGTGTCCTCAGCAGCAGTGCGGATCAGACCATACAAGAGTAGAACGATAAGAAATACAAAGAAATGTTGGTTCTATGTTTTGTGTGTTTTTATGATAGAATCGAAACAAATGATGTCAGTCGGACTGAAAGTATAATGTGGAATTTGTTTTGTTTGATATTGAAGCTTTTATATTGATATAGTCTTCTTATTTTTCAATATGTTTTATTCTTCTGAGTTTATGACTTTAACCCTCCTGTTGTCTTCGGGTCAAATCTGACCGATTTACTACTTTCATCAATCATAACTTTTTTGTTTTACATTCCATTGCATTAAGGCTTTATGATATCCTTCACAGTAGACATTTGAACATATACAATTGCTGATCATCACTTTCATTGCATTTTGGATGATTTAGTCAACTTTGTAACACCATGGTGTTCCCGGTCCCATAAAGAAAAGGAATTAGTAACCATCCGGATCAGATAAAACACACACACACACGCACACGCACACGCACACACACACACACACACACACACACACTCTAGATGTGTCCTCCCCATGGGTCCCACCCCTATGTGCCCAATCCCCCCATGTGAATCACACTTGACACACACACACACACACACACACACACACACACACACACACACACACACACACACACACACACACAGAACAGTTTGACACATGTCCCGCTCTTATGCGCCCATCCCCCCACATGGATCACACCTGGCACACGCAATACATGTTCAGTGTCTATTCTTTGTATATTTACTGCAGTGTTTCATGTGTACCAGTAGTCTGATACAATATGTACAGTTTGAAAGGGTGTTAAATGAAATGTGGTGATGATTAATGGTTTTTGTGTTAATGTAATAGCAGTTAAAACAGGACCGGTTAAAGTAAGGGGGGGAAACGAAGACAATAGGAGGGTTAATCCTGCCAAGTGTTTGTAATACTGGTTTTAGCCACAAGAGTACACAACAGACGAACAAAATGTTATTGTAAAAAATGATCATGGCAACACTTTTCACAGATGTAGATAATAAATAAGGAGCTTATAAATATTAAGAAAACATTTAAATCCAACTTGGAAAATGGATTACTAGAATTTGTTTTTCCTCGCTTGCCTTATGGCTTCCGTATATTTGGATTGGACATTTAAAACTGTGAAGAATAAAATAACTCTGGGTCTAGAGGCCTAAAACTATTACAACCTTGCCAAAACAACATCAACTTCCAAAATGAATTCAGAGTTAAACCAGTGCCTCTCAGATTAAGATCACCAACAACTTAAAGGTCCCCTGTTATACTGTTTTTCATCAATATATTACAGGTCTCAGAGATATACAAAACATGTCTCTGAAGTGTTTGGCTCCAAACACCAAACAGATCATTGCAGCATTACCCATAATCCCCTCTGTTTCCGCCCTGTTTCCAAAGTGCTGATTCTCTGTTACTTTAGATGAAAATAAGGAGCCCCTCCCCACGCCCCTCTGAGAGACATTTGGTTACAAAGAACTCAATGGTGCTCTAGGAGGAGATTCAGGTGATAAGGGGGGGGGGGGGGGGGGTTACCTTGGTTGCTGATTGGCTAATGGTTACACAAGCCAAAACATCGTTATGACATCATAAAGTGGCCAAAATCTGATCAGCTCATTTTCAGGTATAACAGGTTGTTATATAAATGGATCAGGACAAAAAGAGAGGGGGTCTTTGTTACTGAGACTTTCAGAGTCTCTTTACACAGAGGGGACACGTGTTGATGTAGAAGAGACATGAACAAGTGGATTTTGCATAATAGGTGACCTTTAAAGCAGGATGTGTGGCATGCAGAGCTGTTGCATTGCGTTGCATCCCATCATGCAGCCTGTCACTCTTCTGCAACACATGACAATCATTCACAAAATGCCCCCTTCAGCCACACTAAGCTGCCTGTTACACAACACAGAAGACGCTTTAGGATCAGTGACATGTGAGCCGTGCACAGGGCAGATGCATTCAGTGCTCAGAGGCACTGTGTGGTGAGTGGTGGGTGTGGTGAGTGCGGTTGCTCTTGAAGGGGGCATCCCAGTCCCAGGGGGGAATGAAAAGGCCCAGTCCAATTACTGGCTGAGATGCCAGTAATTGGACTGGGCCTTTTCATTCCCCCCCCCAAGAGATGAGTCCGATCCAAACGGCCTGTGGTCGGAAGGAGAGATGGTCGGACTAAAAATAAAAGATCAAGAAGTCCCAACCAGACATGATGGTTTGGTTAGAGTCAGAGGAGAAACATAGGGTGTTGCATGTGATCAGATATATATAAATAGCAACAAAAGGGAATTGACATATTAAACATTTTGTAATAAAGAAAAATATATTGTCACCTATACAAAAATCTGAACATTTATAAATAAATAAAAAAGATATGATACAAAAGAAAAGTCAAGAAATTAACACAAGCAAATTAAAAAGGAAAATACATATATAAATACATCTTAACTGGAGGTAGAAACATTTGCATGAACAATGCCAGGATTTCAATACATTTCTCAAAATATAAGATCAAGAAGTCTCAACCAGACATGATGGTTTGGTTAGAGTCAGAGTATTAAACATGTTGTTATAAAGAAAGTGAAATACCGGCACACCTATACAAAAATCAGAACATTTATAAATAAATAACAAATATATAGTAAAATAAAGAAGTAAAGAAATTAACAAAACATGCAAATGTAAAAAGGAACAGATATACAAATACATATTCATTGGAGATAGAAAAGTGTGTATGTACAACGCCAGGATTTCAATACATTTCTCTTTCAATGCATGCTTCTCATCTTAAGCATAGACAGCTAAACAAATGTTACTGCTCCAAACACTGTATGGATGTCATCAGTTTGAGTGATTTCTTGGTTGTAAAGTTGAGGTTCGCTCTGTTCCCAGCGGCCTGTAGATTTTAATTACAATTATTTTCCAGCATACAAGTAATAATCTTTCCTTCATTTTTGTGGTCGAATCTAAGTAGGCGTACCATTAAACAGAGAAGCGAGGAAAACGTATCTTTAATAATTAATTATCAGATTAATTAACACACACATCAAACACAACAGTGAATTTATTTGGGAGAAGGGGAGGAGAGTTCATTTAATCATTACACAGAAATGCAGTAAATTATTCATACCATATGCAAATGGTGTATGTATGTGCTTTGTAACATACATTATTTGTCATATACATTAATTTCATGCTTATATATATTCATGAATCACACAGATGTTCATTTGCAAACATATCTAAAGCTATGCCAAAGGCTATAGAATAATATAGTAGAATAGACTTTGATGGCAAAATCAGTTTTTCTACAGCCAATTAATTTTTAATGCATTGTATAAAACACTAATCATCTGGTAATCGTATGAAATGATTATGAATGATCTGAATCAAAGTCATCAAAACTTAATATTAAATTGGCTGTAAATTGGCACAATCTCTGATTAACATTAAACAATCTGCAAATAAATGAAATAATCTACATAGCAAGATAACGAAATACATACATTGAACCAACCCTTTAAGACAGGGGTGTCAAACTCAAGGCCCGGGGGCCAAATCTGGACCGCGGCTTCATTTTATGTGGCCCCGCAAGAGCTTGCAAAAAATATAATACGTTTATTATACGGTTACATGCCGCTTTACAGAAGCACGTTGCCAATAAACTACATGTCCCACAATGCATCTCATTTTGTGACATGGGCACTGAAGAGACTTGCTATTATTTGGCCCAGACTTCTGCTTTCAGACGTAGTTATTACCCTATCCGATAATAATCCAATGCAGAGGTAATCATGTAATATAATACATTATTTTATATATTTATATAGTCTTAAAGTTACAACCGGCCCTTTGAGTGCAACCATAATGCTAATGTAGCCTGCGATGAAATTGAGTTTGACACCCCTGCCAGTTTACTATTATTATTATAGTATGTCGTGTATGTCTATGTCTAAGTGTGGTTACCACACTGAGGAGTAAAACCTCTAAAAGTTGTCCACAAATATATAATAATATAACTAATTTCTGAAAAAGGCTTGATTATTTCCTCAAACAGCTGTGAAAGGTTTCTGGTAAATGATCCTCAAACTGGAGAAAGGAATAATTTGCATGGGACTATTTTCAGATGCAGATTAATACATAATTGATGTTCTAGTGAGTTAACCCATATTAGCAGACAGTTTAGGTGACAATGACTTCAGTGTCCCTGTTCATGATAATAAACAAATACGTTTTAAAGTAGAATCAATGAATTAAAGATGTATATTAGGTTCAGAGTCCAAAGCCACCCTAATACTAACTGTGTAGATCCTTGTTATTTCTCACAGATCCAGTTCTGTACAGCGAAACATCCGTCATCGTTCCACTGTCCGACTCCTGGGGTCTTCTGAATATTTTCTCCACAGTCTTGGTTCCTGTTGTAGCTGTTGGGCTGCCCGGGCTGCCAGAACCTGACGGACAGATAACAGGGAGGCAAAGGCTTCTTACAATCAGAGATGGCAAAAGTACACACATCCTTTACTCAAGTAGAAGTACAGATACTCGTGTTTAAAAATACTCTGGTAAAAGTAGAAGTACTGACTAAACTTATTAAGTAAAAGTAAAGAAGTATGGGCTTTGAAAGTAAAAAGTACCCATAACTACCATCTGTTTTAAAGAGTACCTGGCCTCCCTTTATATTAATAGAACAATAATGTCATTGTTAGCTAATGAATGTTTCCATGCTGAACAACGGCAACATGACAACGTTTACATTGGTCCCTCTTCTTCAGAGAAGACCAGGAAATGATGGATACACGGATCTTGTTCAGGCACGCAAGAGCCGCTTTCACACCAAGTAATTTGCCCTACTTAGTTGCCAGCACTTAGTCCCAGCACTTAGTACCCCCATGGAACTAATGGCGCATTTCCACTGCAGCGGGTAGCCCCGTTTAAGCGTCCTTAACCGTCCTTAAGTGGCCAGGCCAGTTTTTGGTGGCCTTTCCATATAGCCTAGTACCGGCTAGCGGGTACTTTTTCCCTCTTTTTCCGGCCCCATAAAATCGTGGTTCTATCAGACCAGGGCCAGGGCAGAACTAGTGACGTCAACACTCTCGACTGCTGATTGGTCAGAGAGAATCGTCACAAGATCGCGCGCGAGTTCATCCCTAGCGTCGCATATATATTTAGAAGCAAGCTTACAGCATTTTTATAAACAGCATTTTGTAAACGGATGAGCTACAAAAATGGCTACGTCTAATAAGAAAAGCACACCGTGGTCGACCGAGGAGGTGACGACGTTCCTACATCTCATTGGGGATGATCAAATCCAGCGGGAGCTCGACGGAACAACTCGAAATGTGAACAAAAACAAAGCCGGTCGCCCCGCCTACACTGCGTTGCTACCCCAGGTCCTAAACTGTAATGGAAATGCGCCACGGCCTCGGACGGCCAGCGAGGCAGCCCGAGGCCTGAGCGAGGACGCTTAGGGACGCTTAAACGGGGCTACCCTGTTGCAGTGGAAATGCGCCATAAGAGCCGATCGCGTTCACACCGGAATAAGTTCCCTGAGTGCCACCCGAAGTCCCCGGCCGGAAGTCCCCGGAGTTGGGGACTGGCTTCAGTAGAAGCTGCTGGGACTCCCAGCAGCTTCTACTGAAGCCTTCCGAGTAAATCACCAGAACGCTGACACCTCCTCATCACTCCACCGCTCCCATGTTTTTGTTTGTGTTGCCATAAATTATTCTCTCTCCGTTGGTGCGTGGGGCTAATGCTAATTATGCTAATGCCAGCAAATACAATGGCGGCTTCAAAAGACTTTTCTGAGTTTTACGGGGCGTGGTTTGCAATTCTCCCAGCCAATCAGAAATTGGAACTTTTTTCTCCCCAGGAAAGTCCCACCTCTCTAGCAGGCACTAAAAATGGGGGTAAAAGTTATCTGAACTAAGTTCTCTTTTTGGTGTGAATGCAAAATTCCAGGCACTATCGGAACTAAACGGGAAAAGTACGGGTAAAAGTACTCCGGTGTGAAAGCGCCTATAATAATGATCACGCCACCAAACGCAGATTAAAACTAAAGTTACCAGCCTGTTTTGAAAATGTAAGAAGTAGAAAGTACAGGTATTTGTGTTAAAATGTAAGAAGTAAAAGTAAAAAGTCATCAGAAAAATAAGTTCACACCTCTGCTTCCAATAAAGATATGTAATGATCGTATGTAATCATCATTTTTTTGCCCCCATCATCACCCCTTTATATTTTGAAACTCATTCACACAAGGTCTCAGTTTGACAATCCTTCCTGAATAATTGGACCAGATCTTTGAGCTGAATGTGATGGATGTGCATTAAAACTGTCCTTCAAACTCTACATTACCTCATTGTTTCACAAAGGATTAAAAAGAAAACATATTTTGACAGATATTATGTGCAGTTTGTGTACAATTATTATCACATGAAGTCTTTCTTCAACGAAATACTGGGGTAAAACCATCACTGATCTTTGTTCTAAAGATACCAGACTACTGTATATTAACAAACAAGACTATTTCTGCAAATGTAATGTAGATGATACTAGGTCTGAAAATGGCAAAATCATCCAGAAACTCCTTCAGCGCATATTTTGAAAACCTGCTGCACTAAACAGTTTCCTTAATGGACTTGCCCACAGGGACTGCCGAAATCCAAACAAAATGTACACTTCTCAAAACAGAAAGCTGTTTGGCAGACAGGCTAACACAAAACACTGGGATGGCGATGCTCAGAGGGTCACAAGCTCTCCTCAAACAAGGACGTGATAAAAGCCGACACCAAATTCCCCTGTGTGTGTGGTGCTGTGTAAATGTGTGTGACTTCAAGAAGACTTCATTCACAATCTTTCTGTTAAACTTACTTTGTGGTGACGTTGCTCCCATCCACCCACATCCAAGTCCCCTCCTGCAGACTGTCAGTCAGACCAATCCAGACATTTTGGCCTTTGTGCATTAACATATTGAGAAATTCCTGTAAGTGTAACAGAAAGAAAAAAACATCAATATGCAACTTTATTTCAGTCAAAACTGTTATGGACCCTTACGAATGTTACACAGTACAGTTTTCTTCCTCTCCAGTTTATTCTGTAAGCAAAACTCTCAACCCCATTATTACATTAACTGATTGTTCAATTAATTGGACAAAATAGCATGTCAACCTCACATGGATCCTCCTTAAAGCCCGAGCCTGTTTTTCAGGTCTCAGGCTCGAAAATGACATTCCCAGAACAAATGACCATATCTTCCCTTCTAAAAGGGTTAAATTAATAATCCTTTTTCTCAAAGCAAGGTTACACCTGTGAGTTGGATGTAGAAGTGTCAGAATCAATATAGATGTTTTTATTTTTAAAGTAAATTCTGATTGAACACAGTAAAAAAAATGTAAATGATTGTGTCCATCCAAAAAAAAAAAAGATTACTTATAGTGAAAACCACCCTTGAATGATGGGATGGTAGACTAAAAGCTTTAGGAATCCAAACTACAACATATAATAAGTACCCTGTATCAAGATTGATGCCAAACAAGTGAAATTTGACCTTTTTAGAGAGATTTAGCAAAGGGGGGGAACTCCCACATACTCCTTATTTGGTAATAGCCAAGACCGGAAGCTGCAATAACTCTGGTGGCTACCATTAGCAGCTAACTTTTACTCTCCGATTTTTACATAAAAATGGAATTATGGATTATAAATAAAAACAATTATTACCCAGAAACATTATCAACCTATGGATTAACCGATTCAACCGCGTTTTTTTCTTGTTGTAATGCCATTGAACAAGTCTTTTGATCAGATTGACAGCTACGGTAAGACGATCTCCCGTAAAAGCTACGTAAAGGTACGTGTTGTGATGTCTGTGTTTGATTCCCCTGTCGCGAGTTCGGATCACTCAGTGATGATACTATACTGTACCTAAATAATCTGTGGAACCTCAGTTTTAATCGGATATCTTGTATGTGCAGCTACGATAAGTAATAAGGGTATCTTTTATCTTGAGTTATGTGCCAAATTGCATTAGCATTTTTTGCTCAGGGGTCATTTAGATGCTTCTTATGAGACTTGTGTTTTGTTTTGGTAAAAATGGTTTGAATCGTCAGTTAGCTGAGATTATTCCCTTGAATCTGGTATAACAAATTAATAGGTTCTTAAATATTAAGATCCCCTGAGACACAGTGTCGTGTGAAAAAAAAAAAAAAAGTACCCGCCGGCGGGGACCTTGGGGCTTAAAGCCAGTCATTGTTCTTATCTTTGTGCATGTGACTTTTTCTCAGCTACATCGCTCCGTCACCCCTCCATTATTGGTGCAAATAAACACAAAGGGATAAAACCCACTTTTAGAATCAGCTCTGAAGCATTCTTAAAGCTGCCTCTGCTCTATTAATCCTCCAGGACAACAGACACATGTTTTAGATATGACCCAGTTTATTCTTCGTCTTTTTCTCCCTCTTCCTCACCTGTTCCTCCAGGCTATCTATGACCACCAGGTCCGCTCCCTCTTCGATGCACTCTTGTCTGCTTAACGTCCAGTTTTTAAAAACCGATGAGACAAAGTAACAGCTGATGTCGAACTTGCTCCAGCCGGTCTGACAGGGCCGCGCTGCAGATTGAAAACATGGAGAGGAGAGTGAAAAACATATTTTAGGGTCACCTATTATGCAAAATCCACTTGTTGATGTCTCTTCTCCATCAACATGTGTCCCCTCTTCTTCATGTCTCTTCTACATCAACATGTGTCCCCTCTTCTTCATGTCTCTTCTACATCAACATGTGTCCCCTCTTCTTCATGTCTCTTCTACATCAACATGTGTCCCCTCTTCTTCATGTCTCTTCTACATCAACATGTGTCCCCTCTTCTACATGTCTCTTCTACATCAACATGTGTCCCCTCTTCTTCATGTCTCTTCTACATCAACATGTGTCCCCTCTTCTTCATGTCTCTTCTACATCAACATGTGTCCCCTCTTCTTCATGTCTCTTCAGCAAAACACTTCAGAGACATGTTTTGTATCTATCTGAGACCTATGATATATTGTTTAAAAAGAGTAAAATAGGGGACCTTTACATTATCAATAGGCTGATACTATAACTTCATCCATTATTTATGAGAAACTCACCTCTTATTTTGTCGATCTTCTTCTGCAGCTCACCCTTTTCTCTCCGCAGGACACTGTGATTGCTTTCCAGCTGACTGTGTTCCCTCTGCAGAGATTTAAACCTGGTTTCCAATTGTTCTACGTATTTCCGTTCTGTATTGTAGGATTTAGCGTAGTTATTTTGCAACTGGTCCTGGTTCCTCATCACTAAAGAGTAATTGCTCTGTAGCTGATCCCTGTTTGCTGTCAACGTTACAAACAAAATCTGCAACTCATCCTTGTCTCTTTGGAGGCGACTGTAATCGCGCTTCAGCTGCTCTTCACTTGCTGTCTGGTTATTCTGAATAGTCCGGAACTGATCGCTCTCTTTTTTCAGATTAAAACGGGCTTTGAACTCATCTCTGTCAGCAGCCACAGAGTTGTAACTGCTTTGCAACTGGTCGTGGTTGGTCTTCAGTGAAGTGTAATTGCTCTGTAACTGATCTCTGGTTGCTCTCAGTGTACTAAATGAATGCTGTAACTCGTCTTTTTCTCTCTGCAAGATATTCTGTTTGATGGTTAGCTGCTGCTGTTCCCTCTGCAGAGTGTTATACCTGGTCTGCAATTGCTGTTTGTCTTTCCTCAGTAAATCGGAGCTGACCTGAAGGAGATTTTTACTCATACTTTGTATATTGTAGCTTCTCTGCAACTGGTCCTGGATCTTCTTCAGTGAAGTGTAATTGCTCTGTAGCTCATCTGTGTTTGCTGTCAGCGTAATGAGCTCAGTCTGCAGCTCATCCTTTTCCCTTTGCAGGCGACTGTAGTTGGTCTGTAGCTGGTGTGTCAGATCATTTTGATTGGTCTGAAACTGATCGCCCTTTTGTTTTAAGATGTTGTAACTTACTTGTAACTGGTCCTTTTCTGTTTGCAGATTGTTGAAACTGGCCTTGAACTCATCTCTCTCAGCAGTCACAGAACTGTAACTAAGTTGCATCTGGTCGTGGTTCGTCTTCAGTGAAGTGTAAGTGCTCTGTAGCTGATCTCTGTTTGATCTCAGCGTGCTAAACTCAGTCTGTAACTCTTCCTTTTCTCTCTGCAGGTCACTGTAATTGCTCTGTAGCTGCTCTGTAGCTGCTCGTAACATGTCCCGTTCGTTTCCCACTTTGTTGAAACTGACCTTGAGCTCATCTCTTTCAGCAGTCACAGAATCGTAGCTCTGGTGAAGCTGGTCTTTTTCTGTAGTCAGGTTAGTCAGTCTGGTCTCTAACTGTTTCCTCTCTGCAGCTGAATTATTATCACTGCTCTGCGGTCGATCTTGAACGTATCCGGACTGCATTGGGTCTCCTGACGCTGGATGGCTGAATATCTCATCTGTAAAGTGCAAATACATTAAAATGATTTGCGGCTTTTGTCTATTTTCTACATAATAATTATCAGGTTTCTCAAACTTTAATAGCCAGATGGCAGTTACAAAATATATACATTTATACATGTCACCATGGACGCGGGAAGGGGTGGTGCTTAGGGGGCTGCAGCACCCTCATCCACGAGGCTACACTAGCACCCCCAAACGCGGCGCACTCTACAGTGTACGCGTGCCAGAGTTTCGCTGGTCACAGTTTTGACGAGCTCGTCACAGGCTCCACTAGCCCCCCCCCGCACCCCCAACTCAGAGTGACTTGCCGCGTCCCTGCATTTCACTTACAGTAAATAAATTGCCCGATGTTTCCAGCCAGCAGGACGGCACACAGTAACCCAAGACACACAGACACACATCTAGACGGCTGCTTTCTCCTCTGGAAATCCACTAAATCAGAAATAAGAACACAGTTAAAAGAGAGGGAATAGAAACACATCATATATCTTTACACCATATATAAAAGCTTTTATAAACTACTTATACAGTCGAGCACAAATTAGATTTATATGGAAAAGATTATTTATTGTAAAAGTAAGTTGATCAAAGTCAACTTTATTGTCAATCTTTCAGTTTGTGCGTACAGACAGAGAGATCGAAAACCGTTTCCCACAATCCCGAAATACAAAAATACAAATATGTTCAATATGATCAATAGCTAAGTTTACAAAAGCACTTAATATTTAGATTTTCAATATGTTTTTAGGTCGATAATATACCTTTGGTGACGAGGCCTTCCATTGAGCGGTGCCTATCTATATATACGTCGTCATCAATTTCCATTAAGTCCATTCTGTTAAATATTCCTGTACAAAGAAGACATGTACAGTATAGATGTTTGCAAAGCTACAAATACACACTTATTTAGACATAAGAGTTATCCGTAAGACATTTTTTTTATAAGTATGCTCCAATGAATTATGTGTGCTCACTCGGGCATGACTAAATGTTTTATATTCACAAGTGTGCTTTCTAGTCAGATGTGATATTTACATAAAAATCCTGCTTAATTCATGCAAATATTCCCGGTAACACGGGTATGCATTTAAATGAATTGCAAGCATCGAGCCAACATCTATAATCTCATTTGCTTTTGGAGTGCACAAATTAACATGGCTTAAGCTATTCCAAGTATAAACATTTCAATTTGATGATTTCATATCATGATAATAATAATGTGAACAAGCACTACAAGCTGAATCTACAAAACACTCACTTAAGGTAAAATATGAAATAGTTGAAATGGGAAAAAGCCTCTAAAAGTGCACGTACCTTGGATCTGTGAAAGTCAGAAGAAGTCCGTATCAGTACGACTGCATTCACATGAAGTTGCTGCTGCTTATTTATTACAGAAACGGCTACAATGAAAGCTAATGCAGCGGTATTTATTGTGCACAAACAGGATGCTCTTCTCGCCTGTCATCAAACGTTTGACTTCAACGTATCTCTGATTGGTCTGGAATAAACTTGACCTTTATGTTCACAGTCTCAGTTCAGATTTCAGGTCATTTTCGGCCAAAATCATTCAAACAAACAGACTGGAAGTCACCATTCAGGTTCAGTTGCCGCAGAGTGGTTATCTCCCAGGCTCCACACTTTCATCCTTTGTGCTTTCTGTTCCCTTTTCCCACGGATTAACTTCCTACTGAGGTCAAATGGCTGACTGTTGCATGACTGAGGTACAAGGTAAGTCATAATGCAAGTATTAGCAAGAGAATGTGCAGACTCAGCCTTGCTGTGCTTGATTTCAGTTATTTAGCCACATACACATGAAATTATCTCTGTTACTTTTCGAGGAGATTTATTTACAGTATTGTCGTCTATGGTGGCCGACACGTGCAAACACGCAACAACATCTCAAACATTTCCATTAGGAGAAATGTATGGCAGTTTCAAAAACGATGCAAATATATACACAAATGTGCCAAAACTCAGCTTGACAAAGCATACAAAGCATTTACTGAACATTTGCAAGAAGCTCAAAACACAACTGGAACACAAAAAAATGATGCACACAGCTGGGAAAAGAGGGTTTTTTACCTCAAGGATTATACTGTCGGCAGAGTTAGTCCGTTTCATAATTGTAAGTATTTTGTCAGTATATTTGAAATGACTTGATTAGATACATTAGCTAGCTAGCTTACAGCAGATCTGCAACAAAACGATTACATTGTAAACTGTATTTAAATAATATGCGGGCATGTATGCATGTTGGTATGGATGTGTGAGCATATGTTTATGTGTGTATATGTTTATATAGATATATATGTATTCGTTTTATGTGGAAATGCAATGCGAGGATTGCTTTTTTAAATTTCGTTGTACCTGTTGCGATGACCATAAAGGAATTATATTCTATTCTATTCTATCATTGTTAAAATAAGCCGGTAAAACTTACATTTCAGGTACATTTCCAGTGACAGTTGGTCAAATGCAGCACTTTGAGTAAACCCTGCTCATGTTTCATTAATTTGGTGTATAGATGTTTCTTCATTTGTATGTGTTTTGGCACATTTGTGTTTTTATTTTTGCATCGTTTTTGAAAGTGCAGCGTGTTTGAAAGTGTTTTTGGCCGTTGTTTTGTATTTGCCCCTGTCGGCCATCAAGTTTCTAGCTTGGTAGAGAACAACAAATGATGTCAAACATATATTGCATTGATGAAAGCACATGGAAATATCCAAACCAGCAGCCTCAGCGAATAAATGAATTCATGCTCCTGATTATGTAAACATTAATATGTGTGTAAACAGGGGCTTTGTTTGTAAGAGTGTTATCTGTTACTGATGCCATTCAAATGCCTTGTTGCTGTTGAATGGTGTAAAGGGATTATCGTTATCGTTCACCCTGCAGACAAATGCTTAAGCCTGGCAGTGCTTCAGGATTTAAGGCTGTGCCAGATTGGAGGTGAGGGGAGAGATGGGGTGAGTTTATACAGGTCAACTCCAAATGTTATAGTCAGTAAAAAAAATGTTAATGGTAAAGTTTATCTTCGAAAACAGAGTAAAGTGATAATTTACATAATCATGATATTTACATTGACTTCCTTACTAACACACCTTATTCTGATAAACATCTATAGTGTATCTTTCCCAAAACCGTAACTAGATTAGTCATCTTAACAGTATAGTTCAAATTTAGAATATAATCAACTTTTTTTTGAACCGTGTGTCCTTATATGGCAATTTGGGGTAGAGAATAGTGTTTTTTATTGATATGCGAAGAGCTTGAATTTGTGACATGACACAAAAAATGTCCCTTTACAGTGGCGTTTTATGTGCATGCCTTCCTATGAGATCCCATCTCCTCCTGACAGCATGAAGAAGCTGTAACTCACTTAAAGCAGATAAAAATTCAGCAGACCAAAAACAAGAGTCTATTTTTAGAGGCTGGACTGAATTTCCTAATCACCTCAAGGACTCCTGTATGAATAATGAATATCTTGTCAGTAATATAATATCACAAAACCAAACCAAGGCTGAGCATCCAAAACATATCAGTGATGGACTCTAGCTCAAAAAATATTTTCTAAAAAACGTTATGCATGAGTTTGTGACCCTGGTGGTTATCTTGCAGCCTCCCGTCTGAGCTTAAGGAGGCTGTGGATGAGGAGGGTGGAGCTGTGAGTGTGTGATGGAGATAAGGGGGTGGGGGCCACCATCCTTCAGCCTGTCCCAGCCTGCACCGCCCATATTAATCAGTCTCAATAACTCACGAGCCGCTCCGAAGAGGACACTTCAGGAAAAAAGAGAGGAGATGACTTATCGACAGCCCAGGATTCTGTTATCTCTGCACCATAACAGCACGGTGTCTGTTACTTCCTTCATATGGTACAGGCAGTTGTACGAAATAGGAATAAAATACAAAATAAAATGTTTTAAACCCGAAGAATTGTAAAAGTAAAAATCAGAAGACACGATGAAGACTCAGGCTCATGATGAAGACTCAGGCTCATGATGAAGACTCAGGCTCATGATGAAGACTCAGGCTCATGATGAAGACTCAGGCTCATGATGAAGACTCAGGCTCATGATGAAGATTCAGGCTCCTGATGAAGACTCAGGCTCATGATGAAGACATGATGAAGACTCAGGTTCATGATGAAGACTCAGGTTCATGATGAAGACTCAGGCTCATGATGAAGACTCAGGCTCATGATGAAGACTCAGGCTCATGATGAAGACATGATGAAGACTCAGGCTCATGATGAAGACTCAGGCTCATGATGAAGACATGATGAAGACTCAGGCTCATGATGAAGACATGATGAAGACTCAGGCTCATGATGAAGACTCAGGCTCATGATGAAGACACGATGAAGACTCAGGCTCATGATGAAGACACGATGAAGACTCAGGCTCATGATGAAGACATGATGAAGACTCAGGCTCATGATGAAGACATGATGAAGACTCAGGCTCATGATGAAGACACGATGAAGACTCAGTATGCTTAACTCAGAACTCTTACTTTAAAGGCAGTTCAATGTTACATGCCAGAGATGTTCACAAGTCTTTTTTTGCAAGTCCAAGTCAAGTCTCAAGTCTTTGGTCACGAGTCCAAGTCAAGTCTCAAGTCTTTGTGGGGTGAGACTTGATCAAGTCTCAAGTCTTTGGTCACGAGTCCAAGTCAAGTCTCAAGTCTCTAAAAAATAAAAGTCTCATGTCTCTTCTGGTTGTAATAAGCCTTCTATTGTCTGCTGCTATCCAGTCTGTTAAGAATACTGCACAGCTATATCTAAGAAATTCAAAGCATTTACTGTATTATTATCACTCCTATATCTATTAGCATACAGTATCAGTACTGATTAGTTGTTTGTTATATGATCACTTTAAACAGGCTATTGCAATGCAATATGAGGAAAAACATCACACTTTAGCTAAATGCAAACAACTTATAAGCAAAACACTTCAGAATCAGAAATCAGTATCACAAATACTTTATTAATCCCCCGCAGGGAAACTGTGTTAAAAGTACTTAAAAGTAAACATTTGTTCTGTGCCATTTGCAACTAAAAAACTATTGCTGCAATATTATCTGAAATATACTGAACTGGTGATATTAAAATATGACCTGTTCCAAAAGAGATATCTACCATTAACACCATTTACCAGCCAAATGCTGGTAAATCATGCAAGTGGCTGGTAATGAAAGCTTTAGCGCAAGTTCAATAAGGAAGACCTAACTCGAGTCACTCACACGTCACTCTATGGCTCCCTTCCCCCTCATTAAATACGAGGGCGTCACCCCTCAGCAGCCAATCGCTGCACATGCTAAATGCCTTAAATACCTGCTCTTCCTCCCTGTCAGTTGTGATTGCAGATGATCACACGCAATGGTAGTTGCAATACAATACTGCTTCTCGTGAGAAAAACCGTAAGAAACAACTAGCTCAAGATGTCCAACTCGGACAATTCGGAACACGAACCTTCTCTGGAAGTCTCCGATCCCGGTTCGGCTCCCCACAGCGGCTTATCAACAGAGGAAGACTTCCTCATCGCCCGGCTCCTGCAGCAGGGCTTTCCCACAGCCCCAGGCCTCACTCTCTCTCAGCGGCGATAGCTCTCGGACCAGGTCTCCAGCGTAGCTCCCCAGTCCGGGGCAGCAGCTCCAGCCAGCTTCCCAGAGAGCAGGACGAGGCCGCAGCCGCGGAGGTAAAAAAAGGGCAGGAAGTCGAGCCCTCCAGGATCCCGTCCCCCTCCAAAAAATCCACCCCTTCTCAGGCTCGCCAGTCCGGGAGCGTCACACACCCCTATGGAGAGTAGCGCGGCCGGCTCCCTGCAATCCCTGGCTAGCTCCATGATAGCTATCGATGCTCGCCTCCAGGCTCTGGAAGACTCCGCCACAGGAGCTTCAACTTCCGTTGCACTCAGGTACTAGTTTTAACGAAAACGTTTGCACTCGACCCTTACACAGGGTTGGGTTGTAACGGAATACATGTAACGGTGTTACGTAATCGGAAGAAAAAGAAAGAAAAAAAATCAGTATATTCAGCTGGCGTTACATTTGAAAAACGAGTAAACTGAGTGCAGTTACTTTCGTAAACCTGAAGTGAATACTTATTGGAATTATTGGTGGAAAGTTTCCTCACAATGTAATATTCATTACCGGCAGAACCGTGTGCACAGCGCTGCAGCGTATCTGCGAGCGAGAGATGCAGCGTGCCCGTGAGGCCCCGCCCCGCACGCAGATGAGAGAGAGAGAGAGAGAGAGAGTTCTCTTTCAAAACATATTGGAAGGTAGAAACGGAGATGTTTAGATACAACGTGGAAGATAACGTTTATGTAGCATTTATTTATTGTCGAAATGATGACATTCATAACGGGATCAAATCTAACTGAATGGCCTGCTGC